GTAGTAGGACCTGTGCTAAGGCCTGGGGACATTAAGGTAAATGAGACACAGCCTTTGCCCTTGAAGAGCTGACATTCTGGAATGAAAAACAGGTATGAAGAGTGAACTTCAATACTGGCTGCTGTCGACTGACATGGGCGGCTGGGGCCATCTACCCCTGAGTCTTGCTCAAGGTTGGGTTGTATTCAGGGGTTTGGAGTAATGTTGGTTGGTAAGTCAAATTTATCCTCTAGTTCTCATCTTCATTCTCAACTTTCTTTTCCTCCTCCTCCCTTTAAAAAGTTTTAAAACCACGTTCTACATAAAGCATATATTATTTTTTTCTTTAAACAGCTTTATTACATAAATTTATATACCATACGACTCACCTATTTAAAGTATACAATTCAAGGGTTTTTAGCATGTCCACAGAGTTGTGAAGCTATCATCACAATGTGATTTTGGAGTATTTCCTCACATCACAGCCGTTACCCACGGTCCACCTTTACTCCCCTAGCTCTAGGCAACCACTAATCTACTTTCTGTCTCTATAGATTTGCCTGTTCTGGACATTTCATATAAATGGATTCATGCGATATTTGATCTTTTTGGACTGGCTTCTTTCACTTAGCATAATGTTTTTAAGGTTTATTCAGTTTATAGCATATTTTAGTACTTTATGCCTTTTATTGTAAATAGTTTAGAAACTAGAGAAAAGTACAAAGAAGAAAGGTAAAGACTCATACCCAGAGATAACCGTTGTTAAAATGTTGGTGTGTTTCCTTCTCATCTTTTTGTTGGTGTGATTTAATATGCTTGCATGGGTGTATGTAGGTGTTTGTGTGGATATTGTGTTAAGATAATGACAGATAAAGTTTTGTGTCTTGCTTTTGGCACTTAGCCATATTTAAGAGCATTTTCTCATGTCACTAATATTCTTTGAAAACATTATACCCATACACTATTCCATCATACAAATGTACTATATATCACTTACCTGTTTCCTTATTATTGGGTATGTGGCGATTTGCCATTTTGGCTCTTGGAACTCCAATGTTTTTTAAAAAAAGAGGATAGATTGTCGTGTCCCCCAAGAAGCTGCCTTCTCTCCTTGGGGATTTCTGTTGCATTACAAAGAACATTAGCCCTTCACTGAACCCAGTTTGAAAATCACGACTAGTTTAGCAAATATTAGAATAACTGAAGTTACCCAGTGTCAGTGAAGATGTGGGGAGATAGGCATGCAATTTGTGGAAGGGTAAATTGATGCAAATTTCTGGTGAGTATCTGACAAAATATTTTAAACATTCACACACTTGACACAGTAAGTCCACTCCAGAAATTTATTTTAAGGAATGATCAGTTAAGATCAAACCAAGGGGTCCTATCTTGGTCACATCTTCCTGTGCATAGGATGCTCTACATATGAGCTCCAGCACATTTACTATTAATTGAGTTCTTTACTGTGTATCAGGTGTTTTACATGTATTATCTCATTTAATTTTTCAAATACAGTCTGTTTTTTAGACCAGTTTTAGGTTCACAGCAAAATTAAGCAGAAAGTACAGAGTTCGCATACAGGACCCGCTGCCCCCCCACACACATGCACAGTCCCCCACCCCCCGGCTGACCCCCATCAACTCCAGCACATTTGCCCGAATGGCACGTCTGTTACAATTGATGAACTGCGTTGACACATCGTTACTCAAAGTCCATAGTTCACATTAGGGTTTACTCTTGGGTTTGTACAATCTCTGGGTTTTGACAAATGTATGGGGATGTATACCCACCATTATGGTATCATACGGAATAATTTCACTGCCCTAAAAATTCTCTGTGCCCTGCCTAGTCATCACTCTGTGGCCCTTAACCCTGGCAACCATTTATCTTTTAAATATTGTCTCCTTGGTTTTGTCTTTCCCAGAATGTCATAGAGTTGGAATCATACAGTCAATAAGTCCTTTCTTATTGGCTTCTTTTACTTAGTAATATGCATTTAAGTTTCCTCCATGTCTTTTCATAGCTTGATAGCTCTCTTTTTTTAAAGCACTGAATACAATTGCATTGTCTGGATGTCTCACACTTTATCCATTCACCTACTGAGGACACTTTGGCTACTTCTAAGTTTTGGTAATTATGAATAAAGCTGCTATGAAGATTAATATGCAGGTTTTTGTGTGGACATAAGTATCCAACTTATTTGGGTAATTACCATGGAGCATGATTGCTGGATCATATGGTAGGAATATGTTTAGTTCTATAAAAAAACTGCCAAACTGTCTCACACAGTGGCTGTACCATTTTGTGTTCCCCCTAGCAATGAATGGGTCCCGATGCTTCACATTCTTGCTAGCATTTGGTGTTGTCAGTGTTTTGGATTTTTGCCATTATAATAGATACGCAGTGGTATCTCTGTTTTAATTTGTAATTCTCTAATGACATGTTATGTTGAGCATCTTTTTATATGCTTTTTTTGCAATCTGTATATCTCTTTGGTGAGGTGTCTGCTCAGGTCTTTGGCCTATCTTTATATCAGGTTGCATTTCAATGTAGGACATTTTTAGTTAAGAGATTTCTTCTGGGATTTATTACGCAGCTCTTCAAGTCACTGTGAGCATCCTCTTCAATGTTTCTGAGCAATGGAAAACAGCCTTTTGGCATTATCTTGATAATATCCTTGATCATTTCCCTTAGGATTTCCTCTGAGCCCAGAAGGAAAAGCAACATAAAAATAACACATACATGTGTCCAGGACCTAAAAGGAGCACAATTTTCACCAAGGTAAATGTACACAGGGAGAACTTACACTATTAATATATTTTCTTGTAAAGTAAGCTAACTCCATTGTCTGTACACCAACTTGCTTTAATACCATACGCTAAAGTGATTTATTTCACTTTTACCTCCAAGCAATCTGGAATAACTCAACCAAGTCCTCAGTAGGGATTTCAGGGTTGAAGAGATGACTGTAAGCAGGCCATTATGTCTGCCTCGATGTCCCTGTAATAAGGGAAACTTGGGGGAATTTTGTAACACCTTCACTAGCCAGCATGAAAGAATATTTTATTGATGAGATTGTAGTGGGGTGGTTGGCAGGGGGGGGGATGTTATCCTACTAATGTTTTCTCTGGCTTTAAGACTTATCTTCAAGGCTGTTGATTTATTTATTTATTTATTTATTTTTTTTAACTACAAGGAACAATTTGGCGCTGAGATGTTCTCATTTTATTTCTGATATGAGGGGAATAATGAGACCAAAGTTACTGACTTAACACAAATGAAAGATGTCTGAGACATTGTTCTATGATCTAGAAGTGAAATTTCAGAGAGTGAAGTTCTAGAAAGTACACCAAGCCCCACCATCTGTGATGCTAATCCCTGATAGGTGTAGGGGCGTGAGGGCTGGGGAATAGGGCAGAGGACAGCCAAGTCTGTCTAGGTATGGTCCCATGCTCTGTGAAGTGGCTAGTGGTAGAGTTTTCTCATGAGTCTGTCTGCTGTCTGAGGCCATGTTCTTGGGGACCCCTGGGTAACAGAATATTTGTCAGACTTTAATCTCTGCAGTGAATTTAGCTCTTTAGTACTTTATTGAGAAAGCCTACATCTATCTAGTAAAAACTCTCCAATATGACCAAAATAAAGATATCTCCTTTCTTATTTACTGGTGAAGAACTGGGATAGTTAATTTTAATTTGTTTCTGGAGTCCCTGAGTCTATGTTATGTCGAAACTTTCTTTTTGCTATTTTTCTTAAAGGTCCTTGCACCACATGAAACAGACATTAGTCAGTGTGCTGTAAGTTCCTGTGACATCCTAGGTCATGACCATGAATATTTTAGACTTTCATTTGTTCTTCTGTTCTTTCATGTCTCTGGCCTTGGCTCTGTGAATCAAAGTAAAAAAAACTCCCCAAGTCCCTTGCAGCAGTGCATGCATTAGGCTGCACCAAGGTCAGCCTTGTCCCATATTCCTCTTGATCTTATGAAGTTGTACGGTCTGAATGTGTCCCCCAAATTCATATGTTGAAACTTAATCATGAATCAAGATCTGGGGCCTCATGAATGGGATTAGCAACTGTAAAATAAAAGGCTTAAGAGAACTAGTGAGCCCCTTCCATCCCTTCTGCCATGTGAGGATGCAGTGTTCATCCCCTCTGGAGCGTGCAGCAACGGGTGCCATCTTGGAAACAGAGACTAGGCTCTCACCAGACATGGAACCTTCTGGTGCCTTGGTCATGGACTCTTCAGCCTCCAGAATTGTGAGGAATAAATTTCTGTTGCTTGTGAATTCCCCAGTCTCAGATGTTTTTTTATATTTTAAAACACCTTTATTGATATGTTGGTGGCATTTGGGAGGGAGCACAGTTAAAAGTATGTGCTCATTTCTGTCTCAGATATTTTGTCATAGTAGCACAAACAGACCAAGACATGAACCTTCCATCTTTTCCAAGACATATGTTGCTAGCCAATCAGTGTGCTGAAGGTCATCTTGGAGTCCCATGGTCATTTAGGCCTCCTGTCCCATAATGCAGCTGTGACTGCTGTGTCAGCCGAACAGTTGCTCCTAGACATGGCACTTTCTTAGTATGTCCCTATAGTTTCAGCACAAGCACTCCATCCTTGCTGCTAAATTAAAGACCTTTCCTTGGCCTCAAGCTATCAGCCCACCAATGCAGGGGCCAATTTGAGACCTGAATAAAATGTTAGGGTCTGACACTGGGATCCCTTTTCCTTTCACCAACCCATTAACAAAGACATCAAACTTAGGCTCCTGAGCCTCTTTTCAAAGATAGCGTTCTGCAAAGTATTCACTACTCTTCTAAGTATTCTAACTACATTAGCTTTCCTTTCCTTTCATCTGTTTGGCCTATGCTGCACTGTGTGATAGATAGAGATTGTGGTTTTTGTTGGGGAATGTTTTATATACATAGCTCTTCTGTCCAGAGTGCAAAGTTTCATAGCTATTTCATAGAGATACATAGGGTATGTAAATCATATAACCCGATAGCTGTTTCAATTACTGTTGATCTTCCCTTTTGAGATCTTTTATTTCAGAGGAGGATTTAGGCAAGAGAACAACATATAAAAGTCAGCAAAGCAAAGAAGAGCCTGGGATATTTGAGGAAGATGGGTTTGGAGGGCCTGAAGCATAGGGGTGGAGGGTTTGAGGGCACAAGGCATGAGCCGCTTCATAGGATGGGCCCAGGCAGGACGGCATTGCACACCATGCTGTGAGTTTGTCTTCCTCCTGTGAGCAACCTCCGCGGTCTGGTTATTAGCTCTTTTTCCTTACAATCTGGGGAACTGGATCAGGTTCCGACTGATCTCAGCGATTGACCGGCAGCCTAAAAGAACATGTAGTTAACAAAGCTCATTTCTCTAAAACACCAGCAACCCACCCCATCATGGCTATGGGATGATCCAATGGGAACAAAACTGGCTTGATTTTTGCACTCACTCTGATAAAATAGTTTCTGTAGAGAACAAGTAATGTAATTCTGATTGTGCTGGGAATTACTTTACGAGCCTGTGCCCACGTCATCTTTGAACACAGTTATGTCAAAATGTCAAGGTAAAAATGTAAAAACCCTTTTAGCATTTTTAAATCAACTCTTCTGTACAGTAGACATCCTTGATCTTTATCTCGGTTCTATGGAGGCTCAGGGATGGGGGAAGAATCTCTTAGGGAGCAATATGACTCAGGGGCAGCGGAAGAGATGGGTGAGTATTCCATATAACAGCTACCTTCCAAGGAAACGTCTGTCAAGGGAAAAGAAGATCTTAATTAATATGCAAAATGAAGACCGTAGCTGAGATTGGACACAGATATTGAAGAGAGTAACTCCAGATAAGAAGTGAAAAGAGAAGGGAGAAAGAAGAGCTAGCATAATGGTACGGGCTGGGGAGTTGTGGGCCCAAGCAGGCAGTGAGAAGGCCCTGGTGATGAGAAGGCTGAAAAATGGAATAACAGCCTGTATGTTTAACTGGAAGTTCTTTCTGTATCTATGTTTTATGCACCATAACTTGGGCAAAATATATTATCTATAAAAATGTAACTAATGAGAGAGGGTCTTTTCCTAAACATAGAGACATAGGAAAGGGTTGAGTTTCATGCCTGGGTTGACAGGGGTGGACAGAAACAGCAGGCGTGGAATAAGTAAATTTGGCAGAAGCAGGAATTCAGAGCCGGAGGTAATCCTCCCTAGAACTGATAATGACCCTGAGGAGAGCTTTGAGTTTCCACTGAGCACAGAATAGCGCTTAATCTTTGTCTCAGATATGTTTTCCCTGTTCTGTCTTCTGGACAGCTACCAAGCCGGGAAAGGCTTAGTTAGAAGAAAGGGCTGCTGTTCGTGTTCATTAGTCCTCCTGTAAAACTTTAAGCTCCGAATTAACAAAAAACTTTAAGACCTTACCTGTAAGGGTCATGGAAGTGTGGAACTCATTTTTTAAAATGTTTAAAATTTCTCTAACACCGTCTTCACCCTGCTCCCAAGACAGACAGACAGACAGAGAAAGAGAGAGACAAAAAGAGCCATGAAGGAACATTCTGACCACCAGCTGAGTATAAACTCTAGATGTAGTTAGAGCTGTGGTGGGGAGGATGGGGGATATCTGTGATGTTAGAATTACGGTGGGAATAAAGGAAAGCACAGAGAAAAAGGTAGGGGGTAAGAGCTATTGCAATCTGTGATATGCTTCCGAGGAGGTGTGGAGATGCACAGGAATCTTGGCACCTTGAAAAATGGCTAAGCTTGGAGGGTGAACCACAGAAAAGCACGGAAACGAATGAGAAGCTTGCAGTTGGTTCCTGCGTTCCACTCTCACCTTGCAGGCAAGACCCCACAGGATTGGTCTCCCAAGAAAAGTGCACTTAGCCCCCAGGGCCAGAGCCTTCAGCACGTCATTGCCGGTTCGGACCCCACCGTCCAGGTACACTTCAATTTTCCCGTTTACAGCAGCCACCACTTCTGTCAAAGCATCAATCTGGAAAGGAGATACACACAGGTTGGGAGCTTTCTGGTTTGACTCTCAACGTGGGGTAGGACCAGGAGTCCGAGCTGGAGGGATGCCTGGACAGGTTCTTCCTTCCCATGCTTGAGGCCGCTGGTGCTCATCCACGGCAGCTGGGGCTACATTGCTGGGACCTGGGGCATTTCTTTGGGTTCTCCCTCCTGCCGTTTTCTGCTTTCGCTCTAGTCTAGCTTCTCTCTGACTCACTTAATTGACTACGGGTCGGAAGAACTGTTTGGTTCCTCTTTACGTCCTAAAGGGGATGTTTTTCATTTATAATGTTCACTTTAACATTCTTCTTTTCAAATAACATTTTGACTTTGAATTTTCTTCTGCCCTCTCTGTCTTTAAAGTGGCACAGCTAGAAAAGTGCTCCATTGCTAAGGAACTAAGTCTTTTTGGCCCGAGTGTCTAGACTGCAACCTGAGGCGGGAAATGGGGCTGCTCGTCATTTCTTTTGCACCACTTGTCGGACTTTCCCTGAGTGCCTTATGGTTTATCTGTGCACTGAGATAGGACAGGAACAACATTGTAAAAGAAAAGTTTAAGCCCTTGAAAGGCAAAATAGAAGCAGCTTATCTCTTTGGCCTGATTTCTCCACTGGACTTTGTCTCTTATCTTGTTTCTGTAATTCCAGGTGTGAACTCAAATAAAGTCTTAAGGCTCAACCCCACCCACTGACTGAACGGACCCCTTCATGGCCCAAGGAATATCCTAAAACTAAATTGCTTGCCAGGAGGAGGGAGGTCAGACATGCCTTATCATGCTCCCCTCCCTTCTTGGGGACATCCTTTGTAACCCATTAACAGGCCTAAGGATATGCAAGACAAACCTGCAGGTCCTCAATTTACACAACAAATGTGTGTCCAGTGGCTTGTCTCTGATAAACAGCTCCTTATGTTAAAACATTCCAAGCCTTTAGACAAAGCTTCATGTCTTTAACCAATTACAAGTTAAAGAATCTTTAAACCCACCTATAACCTGTAAGCCTCTGCTTCAAGATGGCCCACCTTTTCGGGCCAAACCGATGTATGCCTTCCACAAATTGATTTATGACTTTACCTGTAACCCCTGTCTCCCTGAAATCTATAAAACCAAACTATAACCCAACCACAGGGAGTCCACTTGATCAAGACTTCTTGAGCCTGGCTCCGGGTCATGGTCCTCAAATTTGGCTCAGAATAAATCTCTTTAAAATTATTTTGCAGAGTTTGGCTTTTTTTCCGTTAACACAGATCAATAGGTCTTGGCCACCCAGGGTGCCCCAGGCCGATCCATGCTTTTCTGGGCACCTCCAAGTCTGTAAAGAGGAGTGATAGCAGGACCCTCCTGGAGGGAGTTCTGGAACTGCCTCTGGGTTCTTGTCTGTGCTTCTCTGAGGGATGGTCAGAGGAGAGGAGTTGAAATCCGGCCGTAGGGGACCTTTTGCTGCCAAAGGAATCCATCATTATTCTACCTGATTGAGATCCTTTGGCTGAGACTGAGCAGAACAAGAAACTAGGGAGGAAAGAACTTTGGACTTTAATTTTCAGGTAGATATTATGGAACCAGTTCTTGAAAAAAATGAAAAAAGCATTAATTTACAGGTGGAGGGGAGGGATTGACTATGTTTTGAATTTACATGTAATAACTGGAGGGAATTCAGGTCCAAATAAGGGATATTTTTATAGTTCCAGCATGGTATTATTTGAAATATTTTTATGATGTTATGAAAAAAATGTATGTGTAAACATTCTTTTAGTGAGCCATACCGGACAATGGAGATGACAATAATTTGAGAAATAGAGTAGGGACTGAATTGCAGCTTAGGGTGCAGTATGGCCTCAGAGTTAATTTTAATAGGTCCAAACAGGACATTCACTAGAGTCTTCTGGGGACCACAGCTGACTTATCCTTTCCCCGGGTCCCAGGAGGAAGCACAAAGACAATGTTGGATATGAAACCTCATAGAAGTGGGGGCTTCTTTCAAAAAGTGTTACCTCTCACAGGGCCGACACCAACCTGAGGGGAGTGAGGCACTTACCTCAGGCACAAAATTTAGGGGGTGCCAAAAAAACAACTCAGATAAATGATATTTGAATGCGATGTTTAAAAAAATCAAATGGGAAATTCTGACCTATGAGCTGGGGCTTGCTTTTATGAGTAGTTTTACTGGACCCAGGGCCAGGACTAGGGTGAGGTGAGGCAGGGTTATATAAATGCAGGGGTGGATTCTATCTTTATTTAAAGTGTTGACATTTTGTTCACCACTGATTTTTGTATTCATTTACATTTTTAAAATAGTGCATTAAAATATTATTTACCTTACTAAGTTTTTCTTGGCATCTTCTTAACTTTTGAGCCTAAAGTGAATACCTCACTAGCCTCACACGAATCTTGGTGCTGTTCCTGGCCTACTCTGGGTTTGGATGTTCAGCCAAATGACTTGGGAAAACAACACATTGATCAGCATTAAAGGGGTAGGAGAAATTCTTCTCTCTCAGGCTCCGGCCTTAGCCAAGACTCACTCTCTATTGAGGAAGCACGATGGGAGAATTAGTCATCTTTTTCCACTTATTTCTCAGTCCTCCCAAGGGAGCAAGGCTAGCTAAACTGATTCATGAAAGCCTGATACCAACTGCATTATGTTTTTATTCATTTTCTTTTAAAAGCCTATGTTCTACCCTGTCTGCTACTTGTCGGTGGCGGGCTCTTTGCTGCTTTCGGCTCCTATTGTGGTAAGCGCAGTTGGGACAGGGCCTGCTATGCACTCTTGCATTCTCTGTTCTGCCCATCACTGGACATGGAGGGGTGGCTGTGGGCACGCTGGCGGGGGTTGGGTTAGAGAGCTCAGCATGAGAGTTGGGATGTGAAGTAGGAGGCCTGACCATACCCTTTAGTCCAGCTTTTGCCAGAGAGCCACAGTGAAGGCTGCCCCTTGCTCTCCAGTGGTCTGGCCGTTCCTCTACCTGTTCCCTACCACTGAGAGCCTGGCGCAGACGAGGAGGTGAGTGATTGGCACCTTATGCCTCCCAGCATCACAAATCTCCGAATGTACTGAAGTGGAAAATTGGAAAATTCCACTAAAGTAGAAAATTCCACTACCGGGCTTTCTCCCTTGCAATCCTTCCCTGGGTCCCCTCCTTCCCTGTGACCTTTCCCCTCCTCCCCTCTGACCTTTCCCCTCATAAATCACCTGTAGCAATTAGTGTACCAGGCTGTAAAGTAGCTTAGGACTCTGCCTCACTAAAGTTAACCCTGTTGTAACCGTGCGCCTCCCCCTTGAGCAGAGTGTATAAAAGACGGCAATGCTCTTTGGTGCTCAGAATTTGGGAGGGAAAAATCCCCCTCTGAGCCCACTGGCGTATAAACCTGTTTTTGCCAATATTTCTGTGTGCGTGTCGGTCTATTCCTGGTCATCTCTGCTGTAACAGTACAAACTGGATAAGGCAGCATTTCTAAGTCCTGGAATTGATCTTAAAGAAATAATTGAGAAAGTGCTAAAGATTTTAGCTTTAACGGTAGTCACTAATACACTGTTTAAAATAGTGAAAGATTGGAAGGAATACAGATCTTTCACAGTAGGAGGCTGGTTATATAAATTGACCACAATTAAAAATAAGAAGAGAATAAATATTGAAACAAAAAGTTGCTCTTAATATAATGCTAAGTAAAAGTAAGAAATTACAAAACATCATTCATAGTTTTTTTGAACACGAAAAATTATATTTGCATTAGAAAGTTAATGACAACAATTACCAAAATGTTGACACAGTGATAGTGATGAAATTAGAGGTGATATTTATCTTTTTCTTTTTGTTTATGTATGTTTTATCATTTATGTGCAGTGAACATGTTTTACTTATATAGTAACAAGATCAATAAAACTTAAGAGGAAAAAAACCTTGCTTCCCTTTCTCAAAACAAGTCAAGCAGCAATAGAACTTTTGCAGAAATATTAATATACCTCCATGAAGATAAATCAACAACTAATTCCCATTTAAGGATTCTTTCCTTATCCTCTTTTTTATCATTTTCTTCCCTCCAAACTCCATCTATCATGGACATATACATTCATGAGTTAAGGGAAAAAAATTATAGGCCATCATAGATTTTAGCGAAGTATTCCTTAGCACATTTTTTAGTTTTATTGTGAAAGATGGTTATTTATTATTTTTGCTTGAGTGAAACACTGTTTCTTCCTGGGATGTGTCAGCTGGGAAAATATGAAGTTACAATCCTTGCTGATATGCAAGTTTGAAGCTGAACACCTCTTCCAGAAGGCAGGAGACCTTGGTGGTGCTTTTGGGACAGCTTTCTTATCAAATTCCACATTAACCATTTATTATCTATGTGACTTTGGACAAGTTACTTAATGTCTCTAAACTCTAGTATCTCCATCTGTGAAACAGAAATAATAACACCCATCTTGCAGCATTGGCATGAGACTTAGAGACGATATATGTAAAGTTTGTAAAAATAGCCTGGTACATGCTAGGCTATTCTTAATGATTAAAAGTCCTTAAAATTCATAAGTACATACCAGTGTATATTGTATGGAAGGGGGGAAGGTGCCCCAGATTTCATAGAGTACCTTGGTGTAGACACACACACACACACACACACACACACACACACACACACGGCACTCACAAAAACACACCCCTTTGAAGTCATCCTACTTACCGAAGAGGGAACCTCATCAAGCTGCCTCCCGCCATGGTTTGAAACAATGATGCCACGGATGTTGTGCTTCACAGCTAGCTCTGCGTCCTCCTTTGTCAAAATCCCTTTAAGGATGATGGGCAATCGGGTTATGCTCTGAAACCAGGAGATGTCATCCCAGCAGAGAGATTTGCTAAGGGCAGATGTCTGGAGACAAGGTATTGAATTTCTCTGTAGGAAATAAAAAGGGAACTTTAGTCCTCAACTCCTATAAGACTGTTTGACTCATTCCAAAGAGCAGACATATTTGGAGAGTTGTCATTTACAAGCTTGAGAGAGAAGCAAAAGAATCCAGCAATGCTTCTAGCTCCTTTTCTTAACAAAATTTATATAAAAGGATTTCTACTTCAACTGCTTATTCATTAACCATTAATCATGTGGCTGCTGAATAATTGTGCCAGACTCTGGGGACACAAAGACAAAGAAGACACATTCTCTTTAAAAGAATTCAGAGTACAGTACATGAGATACATAAGGAAATGCATTTATGGCTCAGTGTGATGTGTTAGGGTTCAGATGTGCACAGGACAATAAGAACTAAGCAATATTTCAGTAATCTTACCCACTGTTTACCCTTGGCTCACCATGTATACCAAATATTTATATATCTCAGTGTGCCTTTAGGATCTGGATAAATATTGTAACCTCAAGGCCAATTTGTGGTTAATGAGTAGAACTGCTGAGTCACTTGACCGGGTATCACAGCCGCCCACTGCTGAAAAGGCTGACATTACTATCTCTGCTGCAGCCAATGGATTCAACTTCACCATGGCTTTTTCTCTCTGGGGCACTTCATGCCATTCAACTGTAGGATTTTAATGGAGAAACTTTCCTTTGTAGTCACCTAGTTCAGAGATTCCAAACAGTTGTGCTACAGTACCCTGTTGTTCCACAAATAAGTTCTAGATGTGCAGAGATATTGACTCCTCAGTGTTCATGGCAGCAGAGTGGGACCTGGGCTGGCTAGACAGGCTGGCCAGTTGCCTTGGCTGTGAGCATCCTCTTCAGAGAGTCAGTGTATCTACCTGTGCCATCCAAAATGATCATTTTCTAAGTGTGCCATAAAGTAGAAAATGTTGGATGAACTTCTTTAGTTTACTCACCTATTCCAAGAAAAAATCCTTTGTATGGCCTTTCCATTTCTCAGAATCCAGCTCTGGCCAGAACATTCTGTTGAAAGGTTGGGCAGCCACAGGGGTGAGGACATTTGGTCTTATGTTCTGCTTATCTGGAAGCTCTGGGGAGCAGGAACCAGATCTACTTTTTGAACTACTGCACCCCCAGTGTCTGGCACAGAGCAGGCTTGCAGTAAATACTTGTAGAAAGAAAGAAAGAAAGGAGGAAAAGAGGAAAGGGGGAAGGAAATTTGCCTCCTGTACTGCCTGCCTGTTGACTCTGGCATCTTTCCTACCTCTTTGGGTAATCGAAGATCTTTTAGCATTAAGCTCATCTTCAAGTCCAGTTGATTTCGAATGTCATGTCGCCTGTTGCCAGGTATGGGTGTATCCACTGTGATTACCAAAGCTTTGAAACCCAGGGATTCTACCCTCTGGACCAGCTGTTTGTTCAGCTGCTGGTCTGGTTGCACATAGAGCTGGAACCACCGGAGGCCTCCTGGAGCAGCAGCAACGATATCTTCAAAGCTGCAGCTGGCATATGTGCTGGTGATGTAGCAGACCTTGGCTGCTTGGGCGGCTGCAAAGCAAAGACACGACTCAGGTCGGAAGGCAAAGGCATCTGGACTAGGGTGAGAAGCCCTGCGCGTCTGTGTGGTCTCCGGCCAGCTTGCCCTGTGAGTGCAGATAAAGCTTAACTTTATTCTACTTTCCTGTAGGGCAGGGATGGGAGGTGATTTGATCAGACTGAGAGGCCTAAGGCGTTTGGGTCCTCCTCTGTATAATCTGTCGTACAAATCCTATATTCCTAATAAAATATTTCCAGCTGGAGATGTCATTTAGCCTTCAGAACCACACTGGGTGTGTTACAGCCTTCAGACAGGAAAGTGGGCTTCCTATGAATACCTAATGAAGCAGAAGAAAGTTAGAGGGGGCAGAGGATGAGGGAATGTAATCCCAGGGGAGAAGCCTGAACTTCGTAGTGGAAAAAGCATGATATTTGTAATTAGGAGAACGCTAGTTCTACCACTTCTTTGCTATGTGTCCTTGAGCCTTTCATTTCCTGTATCTGTAAACTGAAGGAAATAATAACACCTTGTCTTTAGAATTGTGGGGAGGTTAAATAGGATACTAAACATGGAAGCATTCTTTAAATTGCAAAGTGATGTACGAATGCTGGTGATAATGAGGTTGATGATGATGATGGCGAGGATGCTGAAGCTGCTGCTGCTAAGTTGCATATTTCTTATTTCCTAATCTAATCATTTCAGCGGGATTCTCCAACAGGTTATTGTCACTGCCACGCTACAATCCATGGGCAGAGAATTTGGCCTAATCAAAAATTAATATTTTCAAATCTTCATGTCAACAGGAGTTAATCCATTCTTTTACCTCACCCCCAAATGAGACACTCAACTGTAAAATTTAGTAAACTGGTCACATTCATATAGGCTATTCAGAGTTCAACCTAGACAGACCTATTTCCTAACCTCATCAAGAGGGATGTCACTTTCAGCTCCAAAATCCTTGGATTTCCTGCTTCCTACATCACAGAGTCAAAGGAAGGGACCCCAAGGAAGCCCTGATCAACTCACAAAAACGGACTTGACCTAGTGTGAAGATTACAAAGGAGTCCCAAGAGTCCTTTCAGCCCCCTCTCTTCTCTTCTATAATAATTATTATTATTATTATTATTATTGATGGTGGTGGAGGAGGCTGTGGGGAGAGAATGGGGTTTACTAAGAAGGAGACATAACCTAACCAGTAACTTTTTGTCAAACAAGATGACGAAGTCCATTGAGAAGGATAATGGAGTATTTGGGTAAGAGCAATTGCCAGGGCTTTGTGTTAGGACCTAATGTCATGATTCTCTCCTCATTCTAAATCCAGAGACTCACCATTCAGCCCCAGCGTGGCCCGGAAGGGGCCAAAGAGAGACCTACCTGTGGGGCCACATTAAGCATCCCTTTCCCCACAGACAGTATGAGTCAGAGGGGCCGGCACCCCTCTTCTGGGGGATGACTTGGTGGGATTTGGACACCTTCCTATTTATCTGTGGCCCCTCTCTCAGTCTAACTACTCTTTATTATGAAAAATGGATGTTGTCTCAATCTTAGGTGAAATGTTATACATACATAGTTTTAAGCATTCCCTTTCCCTCCTTCCTTAATGTCAACCAGGCTGCTGTCCCTAAGGCCCTTCTGGAGAGAAACCCTGGGGCTCCCCGTTCCTGCACTGAGGAAGGCCTCCTGAGTATTTCTAGACTTCTGGGGAAGGGGCCTCGAGGCGAGGCGGCTTGGTTCATACCTCTTGCTGTGCTCATTTCCCCATCAGGCCAGGCGAGGCAGTGGAACCCTGAGGGGGAGATGCAGATGGGGGCACTGATCTCCTCCCCTTGGATTGTGGTCCTGGTGTCTACCTCCGACACATCTCTCAGGTATCGGGGACGAAGGCGGATTCTGTGCTAGGCAACAAAGAGATATTGTATTTGTGGGATGACTCTTCAGCATGGAGGTGCCGTCTGGGGCTAGGGCCCCCTGATTCCTGGTGCAGGTCTAAACTAGACTGGAACCCTGAAACCTTGGTGGGTTCAGTTGGCTGAGAGTTGAATAAACAATGTGGATCCAGCAGGAGGCTCCTCTCCAGGAAGCTGCTTCCAGCACCCTCTTCCACATTCACCAGCCTTCTCTGAACTGTCATGCGCACACAGTCCATACTGCCCCTGCCCGGCTCTGTTGGGGGTCTGTGTCTTTGAGCTGCGCCTCCCTACTAGACTCTCAGCACTTGATTCATCATAGCAAGGACTGGAAAGGAAAAGAACAGGTAGGAAAGAGTTTCCTCTCCAGTTAGAAACAAGTCTCCAGAAAGTAAGAAAAGGTCACTCACTGAAAGAGGACAAATCCCAGAGAGTGATCATGACATTTTTGCTAGCAGCTAATTCATTTTAAGATTTGGCTTAAATACTGCTTTAGAGGAAGGGAAGAGAATTCACAAATAATAAATATGTAAAACACACATTTAAGACATTGAGGATGCCTTAGCCTCAAGTCAAAACATTTGTTTTTTTTTTTTTTTGAGACAGAGTCTCACTTTGTTGCGCGGGCTAGAGTGCCATGGCATCATCCTAGCTCACAGCAACCTCAAACTCCTGGGCTCAAGCGATCCTCCTGCCTCAGCCTCCCGAGTAGCTGGGACTACAGGCATGCGCCACCCATGCCTGGCTAATTTTTTCTATATATTTTTAGTTGTCCAATTAATTTCTTTCTAATTTTAGTAGAGACGGGGTCTCGCTCTTGCTCAGGTTGGTTTTGAACTCCTGAGCTCAAACAATCCGCCCGCCTTGGCCTCCCAGAGAGCTAGGATTACAGGCGTGAGCCAGCGCGCCTGGCAACATTTCTGTTTTTTACAAAATATTATTATTATTATTTCTGTACACAAACTTAGAAAAATTTTCTGAAAATACTAATTGTGCAAACTGGAGCAAGTTAGCCTCAGTTACTTCATCTGTGGAATAGGAATAATAATCCAAATTTCCTAATAGTTTTGCGAAAACAAAATGAGATGAATCATTTAAAGTGCCTAGTATAGTGCTAATTAAATATGAAAATGCAGAATATAGTGTTCACTTTGTATCCCATTTTTCAGTTTTCTCCTGATCTTGCTATCATAGGAGTCAGCAAACTTTTCCCATAAAGGGCCAGATAGTAAATATTTCAGTCTTTGTCACAGCTGTTCAGTTCTGCTGTTGTAGCACAAAAGCAACCATAGACAATAGTAAATGACTGTGAGCATGGCTGTGTTCCAATAAAAACTTTATATATCAACATTAAAATTTGAATTTCAGGCTGGGCACAGTGGCTCTTGCCAGTAATCCCAGTACTTTGAGAGGCCAGGAGTTCGAGACCAGCCTGGGCAACATCATGAGATCCCATCTCTACAAAAACAACAACAAAATAAATTAGCTGGGCATGGTGGTGTGTGCCTGTTGTCCCAGCTGCTCAGGAGGCTGAAGTGGGAGGATCTCTTGCACCCAGGAGTTAGAGGCTACAGTGAGGTATGGTTGGGCTACTGCACTCCAGCCTGGGTGACAGAGCAAGACCCTGTCTCTAAAAAAATAAAATACAAAACATGAAAAAAATTGAATTTCATATAATTTTTTTTTTTTTGAGACAGAGTATCACTGTATTGCCTGGGCTAGAGTGCCGTGGGGTCATCCTAGCTCACAGCAACCTCAAACGCCTGGGCTCAAGCGATCCTCCTGCCTCAGCCTCCCGAGTAGCTGGGACTACAGGCATGCGCCACCATGCCTGGCTAATTTTTTCTATATATTTTTCGTTGTCCAATTAATTTCTTTCTATTTTTAGTAGAGACGGGGTCTCGCTCTTGCTCAGGCTGGTCTCGAACTCCTGAGCTCAAACAATCCGCCCGCCTCGGCCTCCCAGAGAGCTAGGATTACAGGCGTGAGCCACCGCGCCCGGCCTGAATTTCATATAATTTTGCATGTCTCAAGTTCTTCTTCTTTTGACTCCCCCTGCTCCTCAACCATTTTAAAATAAAAAACTATCATTAGCTTGTGGGCCAGACTTGGCCTGTGGGCGGCTGCTGGTTGACTGATGCTCTGTCTCCTGCTTTTCCAGTCCAACTCTTCTCCTTTGAATCAACCTCTTATCATTCCTAAGGCTCCTTGGATCTTCATATTCCTCTAAGCCTGAGTCCTCTCTCCTGTTTTACATTTTCTCCTCCAAGAGCAGTGGCTTTAGGAACTTGGGAGATCTAGGCCTACCCGGCAGGCTTCTCCTCCCTGCCCGAGCAACTCCTCATCCTGGGACTCATGTCTCATTGTGGCGAGTTGCAAAGTTGCTGGGATGCAGAGGCAGGATGGCTCCCTTGTGCTAGTCCTAAGATAAATTCCCTCTTTATCCGTCTTTCCTCCTCCCCCAAACGAAGCAAAACAACAAAACATCAAAAAGCCACATTATTATATTTGGAGTATTCTGCGTTTCTCTGAAGGCAGAAACCAGTAATACTACTACCGTCCAAGGATGTCTCAATCAGTGCACGTTAGCTTAACAATATACAGGCTACGGAAGACCAAACTTTTTGAACGCTGCGATGTTGTCATCCCGCGTGATGCAGTCGTCAGCTCCTCCTTCGATAAAATCCCAAGATGACTTGGAGAGCCGCTCTCGTGCCTGTGCCTGGAAGTCTGTCAGACACACCAAGGCCATTTCTGGACCTTCAGAGGAAAAAACAAAACAAAACCAAACAAACCCAGTGAGAACCCTTGAAACGGAGAGGAAAGGCGAAGGGGAAGCTATGGCATGAAGTTGTTCGAATCCAACATCCCTCTGCTGCGCTCTTTACCTTAGCAGGGCTTCTGCCCAAGCCGTGGACCCCGAGCTCCACTCCTGTGCTATCCCAGCCCCGTTTCCCAGTCCCGATGATTTGTTCTTCCTCATAATCCTCACATGTGTCTCCTACGCTTGATGCTCACTGCCTTGGATCTAGTTGAGGCCCCACCACCTTTTAAAAGATTATTACAAAAAATTCCTATTTTTGTCTCTTGCCTCCAGACTCATTCTCCATCTGTCCCCTCCAGCTGCTGGGGATCTTCCTAAAATTCAAGTCTGATCAGGTCTCTTGTCTTCCCATGTGCCTGTGTCATGGCATTCACTGCCAGACCTGGCCCTTAAATGCCTCTCAGGCTTCATTTCTTCACGGCTTTTCCTTGCACTTGCCATTCACGTCACTGTGTGGGAAAGTTGGGCCCCAGCTGATGCTGATATGAGGAAGTTCCCAGGAACCTCTGGATGTCTGAATTGCCTGGGGCTGTGGGTGACGTGGGGATCGGGGAGAAAGTTGACTTTTGTGATTCCTCGTCTGGGTTACTGGACAGGTTGCTTAAAATTATTAGGAGGTCCAAATGTCACTACCTCTACCTCTTTATTACTTCTGCTAATTTGGTGACCTAGGAAATAAGATATGTGGCCTCCTTTCATTCCCATCTCCAATTTGAATTCTGTAAACCTGGAGCTTGGTGCTTTTGATACAACCACCCCTAAAAGAGGAAAGAGGGCAGGGGTTGGAGGTCACCGGTAAGTCTCTCCAGTACGAGCAAGGGCACTGGGCACAGGAGCTGTGGAGATGCTGAAGGCACTGGTTGCACTCAGTTACAGCACACGGAGCTCCTGCGTAAGAAGATTCCAGAAGGAAAGGTAGAGAAAGCTGAAGTTCAAAGCTCTTGCCAACTCCTGGGCAGTTGGCTGTAGTGTGAAAATTAGCCAGAGGCTGTGGGTAGAAACTGAATGGTTTTGAGGTCATTGATGGAGGGAAGGGGAGAGGCGGAGTGAGTAACCAGGGCTTCACTCAGGAAGGATGTAGCTCCTCAAATGGATGAGGGGGCCGAAGAGGCCAGATGACATGTGGGCACCAGGAATTGCGGCTGGGGTAGGGATGGGGCAGGACTGGCCAGAGGGCGTCTGGAGCCAAGCCAGAATCTGCTCATGTCAGAGGAGTAGCCCGTAACACTTACCTAAGGGGCTAAACAGGAAGAAGTTATATGCCACATGGAAAGCAGAGCCCTCAGGATGTGCAGTGGGTTCTGGAAGGAGGCTAGGAGGAGAAATTTGGAGCCCAGCCACAGAGTTTTTCACAGGCAAAGTACTTTGTCAGTGAGGGGGCACGGGGTATTGAGGTGCTGAGTTGAGTGTGAAATAGTACAGCTACTGTCTCTAATTTATTCATTCCTACCCCACCCTTTAAAGGGTCAATAAAGCTTAGTCAGATGAATCAATCATTGCATTTATCCTACTATTGTAGTGGACCCCCCAAATGTAGTAGGTTATGATGTTAGATTAGAAATATATTGAGATTTGTGGGTAAACACTTAACTAGACAAGAAAATCAAAGAAATCACGCGCTGACTTTAAAGTAGATTGCCTCTACTCTGCCTTCAGGGCTGTCCTAAGTTAAAATTTAGCGCCGTCCCTTCATTTGGGAAGAACGTACTCATGTACTTTGTACTAGTGGCTAAGGATGGAAAACAAAATGATCAAGCCAAAATTGATTGTTTCTTATAACTGATTGTTTAAACTTTCCAGCTGCCTTGCCTGTGGTTGAAGTTTTACTGTGCTTGCTTAACTGGGGAAAGAATGGTCCTTAACCTAACTAATGCTATCTGCTTCTGTAAGCCTGCTTGCTTAAAGATTATAATCAGTCGCTCATAACCGGAGTAGGTGGTCCGAGGCAGGTCCCGGACCCCATGGTTATGGAATGTATGATGTAATTTGTCCCACTTCCCGTCTTTGTCCCACTTCCTCATACCTCGTGTCACATAGCCCATCTTAGAATAGTATAAGACCCCCTCGCTTTTTTGGCTAACCACCATTCTCTGTACCTGTACTCTGACAGGGCAGGGGTGGTCGCTGGCCAGCTAATAAAGACTCATAATTTGGCTCAATTCGGTCTTTAAGTGGTCATTTCTCACACTCCGTACTGTAACACTATATTGCAATTACTGATTTATATCTCTGTGTGCTTAAAGGAGTTAACGCTGCAGACCTGAGAATGCTATTCTTCAAAAGGCCTGCTTGCAAGGTTGGACGTCGGCTGTCATCTGGGAACTTGGATTCAGCAGGGTGCCCACCATGTCCTGGTAAGAAAGGCTCACTATGTGTAATGTTTGTACAATGTGGTACCGGCTGGGCAGATGGTGATCAAGAGTGTGACCATATAACTAGCCCCAACATGAAACTCTGGGAATTGAGTCTCTAATGAGCTTCCCCGGTAGACAACACTTTACATGAGTTGTCTCATCTCGTTCCTGGAGAATTCAGTGCATTCTGTATAACTCTACTTGGAGAGATTCTTGAAGCTTATAACCAGTTGCCTCCGGATATTGCCCCAGAGCCTTTTGCCTTTGCTAGTTTTGCTTTGTCTCTTTTAACTGTAGTAAATCTCAGCCTCAACTTTATGCTGAGTTCTCTGACTTCTAATGAAGCACCGAACCTGGGACCCAAACACACTTTGTGTCCCCAGGCATTAGGCTAGTACATGGCTCTATCCTAACTGCACCACCCCCCCACCTGCCGTCTGTCACCATTCTACCTTATTGGATGAGAATTCTCCACCAGGTTTCAACTCCTGATATCTCAGCAAATCTGCATATCCTAAACCTTACACAGTCACAGAAATGCTGTTCTGCACATTTCTAGCATAGAAACTACCCAAAGCTTGTGTCTAATCCAAAAGAAATAACTTAAACTTACTCGGAATTATGTGCCTGGAATCATGTGAATTATATAATTTGAAAGCTGCTTGGAAATAAAGAATGAACCCCAGCATCCCTATGTATGGAAAACTATTTTTTCTCATTTCTATACCTCTTCTAATTTTTTCTTAGCCTCTTTTCTATCCACAATTTCCTCTCAACACCCCTGTGAAGTAGACAAAGAAGGTTATTAGTCTCCCCATTTCGCATTTGAAGGGAAAGAAGCCTAGGAAAGGAAGTAACCCGTGACAGATCAGGCAGCGAGTTATTACAAGAGATGGTTCTGAAATTATGTGTTCTAGTGGCCTCTAAAGGTAGACGTTTTCTATTTTCAATTTCATGTAAAGAGCAAAATAGTTGGTTCACATAAATTATTTGTATTAAATTTAAGAGAATTTTGTAGGTTTAAAAATATAATTATGCATTTTTTTCTTTTTCTAACGTGTAAAACTTAGTAGAATAGATCATTATTTTTATTAAAGGTCCAATGTAAGGCCTATAGTTGAAGAGAAGGATAAGTTCACTGTTCAAAGCTTTTCCTAAACTAAGGGAAGAAAGAACTTAGCACAATATGTTTTTGTATATTTCAGCTTGATCCCTACCAGATTTGAAACTACCAGAATTTTTTTTTTTTTTTTTAAGAAGGAAAGAGGAATTTATTAATTTGCCGGCAAATGAGGAGGTTTGCAGACTCCCATCTCAAAGCACCAACATTGTGGGGATATTTGGAGGCAGGGGGCTCCTCCTTCACTGTCTGAGTCTTGGACTTAAAAAAAAACGATTTGCTTTCCTGGAGGCTTCCTGCCACCCAGAGTCCTTTGCAATTTTGGGCAATGTTCCCTTCAAGGTCCTTCTTCTTTACAAAAAGTCAGTCTGGGGTGTCTTTTCTGCCCTTTCCTTTTGACTCTCTCAAAGGACCCTGCGGCTATTCGTGCACAGTCAAGCCCCCCTTTCTGATATTGCCACAAATTTCCTGCCCCGACTATGGGTTCCCTCTAGCCCAAATTGAGTTTGCTGCCAGGAGAACCCCGAGTCACAATTTACTGGGTATGGGACTGAAGAGTTAGTTCAGGTGGCACCCTCTCTGGACCCTCCTGTGGTGCCAAAATAGTGGCAGCAGCGGGCATTCCTTCCCCCTTGCTGCGTGCCCCTTGGCAGTGGGCACGTGTGCCAGTCATCCTTCCTGCCGAGTCCGCCCCCAAGCTGTGGCCCTGCCCGGTGCCTCGCCCTGGCCGGCTGGGGCTGCAGGGGTTCTGGTGGGGGTTGTATCAAAAATCATACAAACACAGATAATTTTATATACCATAAACAATGAGTTTATCTCAAGCAGAGAACTTGAGACTCAACATTTTAACTCTATAGTGGCAGGTCAACCATTTGAGCTCTGAATTTTAAAAGAACCAATAGCTCAGAATAAACCACAGGCCATCAAACACCACTTTTCCTCACACTTCATACAAGCAGCACCAACCACCACAAAAGAACCAAGAGCTCAGAATAAACCAAGGACCATCTATCACCACTTTCCTCACACTTTATACAAGGGGTAACTAGCACCACTTTTCCTCACACTCCAGACAATAATCTTTAGCAAGCACAAACAATATAGGGAATTTCCAGCACAAACAATCTAAAATGCCACAGCTTATCAATCAAATGGGAGTTGGAGCTTCCTTATGTTGCAACGAAACTCACAAATAACAAACAGATAACACAGGGGATACAAAAATGCCAGGGCTTGTCTAACAAATGGGAATCCTAAGGGGATAAACGCCATCCAAATGGCATCTCAGATGGTACCTCAAATGCCCTGGCATAGGGTTGGAAAGTTCACAAATGGGAATCCAAAGGGGCTAAATGCCACCCCAGCTGGAAGGTTCAAAACCCTCCCCAAGTGGTGATCTAGTCTTCCCCCAACCCTGTTCCTTGGGAACTGCAAATGAGCTCCAAATTCAAACCAGGTTCCC